CGCCTCCGGGCTGGCCTCCGGTCCTGGCCCCGCCCTCCTCCATGCCCCTCCCGCCCCCAGTGTGACTGGCCTGGCTCCTGTTGGCCTGGGGCTGGGGAGCTGGGTGCGTCCTTTGGGGCCCCTTGGCGCCATCTGAGGTTTCAGGCCAGCCTGGCTGGGGCCTCGGACAGATGGACATGGGCCTGAGAGCCGGACTCAGGTTCCGGCTGCTGGCCTGCCCTCGACTTGGGTTTCTGAAATGTTGGCACCTGTGCGGGGCTGCGCTCGCCTTGCTCCGCTGATGGGGCACAGAAACCGAGGGAGGTTGTCTCCACCTGCCCTATCCGCTGACCACCCCTCTGCGGCCCCCGCCGTCCCCAGACCTCCTTCCCGGGCGGACTGGTCCCGGAGGAGGCTGGAAAACACAGCTACTCTCAGGAGCGTTCGCGTGTCCGCGTGAGTTTGCAAAGTGGGAAGGAGGGTCCCTCGAGACAGCACCTGGTACCTCCGACCCCTCACGTGCCCTTGTTGCCACTGTCACGTCCGTCCGTCGGTACGCGTCCGTTGGTTCCTCTGCGGCCCTCAGGACCTTGGGCAGTCCGCCTTCAGCTGACGTTTTGTTGCGGTCAGTGGGTTTCGCGGTCCTTTGTGGGCGTGGTTTGCCAGGCCTTTCTTCTGTGTCTCATCCTGGAAGCAACTCCGAAACCTAACCTCTCTGGTGTTTGAAACCCCGGTGGCTGAGCACGCAGCGTCACAGGCAGAGTGGCCGACCTGTCACTTCTTCCTGTCCCATTTCTCCATCTGGAGAAAGGGTGAAGGGGCCTACGATATTTGAACCTGAAGGGGCTGTTGGCCCTGAGCCATGCTCCCCGAGTCCCATCATGCAGCCGGTCACCCAGGCAACAGGAGTGGACAGTGGGCTTGTGGACACCCAGCGGGCAGAGGCCCAGCCCAGTGGTCCCACAGCAGACCACAGCTCTGGCCCTTCCTGGCGTGGTTCCCCACGATGGAGCTTGTGGCTCATCTTGGTGTGTGAGCACTTTCAGGAAGCTTAGCAGTGCCCTTGGGGGGTGACCTGCCCAAGCCCCCCTCCCTCCCCCCGGTGCCCACTCACCCACCGGCCTCCCTCTGGTCACTGGAAAGGCCTCTTCTGTGGGCTCTGGGGGATGAGGGCTGCCTGCAGGAGTTGGGACATGGCCCTGCCAGGGTCCTTCTACAAGTTGGCCCCCGAGGGCCTAGGGCCACCAGAGAGTCCTCAGCAGGCTGGCAGGAAGGCACCCAGGCCCACTGGGGTCATTTAGTGTCCCTCCAACCCCAGAGAGGGCTGTACCCACACCCTCCCGCAGATCCTCGGGAGCCACCTTGGTGAGGAGACGCAGGCACACGCGGCTGCTGGGTGGCAGAGGCACTGGCAGGTGAGCCTGTGGGCACAGGTCGAGGGGGCACCCGGCTTGCTCTGGCATGTGGATATGAGGCTGTGTGCCCACAAGACAGGGGAGCCAGGCTTCCTGCCCCACAAACCTCCCGCAAGCTGTGTGATCTGGGCTGGGTCCTATCCCATCTCTGAGCCTCCTTTATGCACCTGTAAAGTGGAGCTAGGAGCCCTGGTGGTATCATGGTGATGCATTAGGCTGATCACCTCGAGGTCAGCAGTTCAAAACCACCAGCTCCTGCACTGGAGGAAGATGAGGCTTTGTGCTCCTGTGAAGAGTCTTGGTCTCAGAAACCCACAGGGGCAGCTCTGTCCTGTCTCACAGGGTCGCTGGTTGTCCCCATCAACTCCACGGCCGTGAGTTTGGGTTTTTGAGAAGGTGAAGCTGGGATATCTTTAGATAAGGGGTGGGTAGGTGGGTGATCGGAGGAGGGCCCTGGCTGCTGATCCAGGTGTTTATAAACCCCGAGCCCTGGGTCAGCTGCAGGGATGATCTGGACCCAATATACTGCTCCCTGTTACCACTACTAGGGCTCCGGAGGGCTTCCTCGGGGAGGGGGCACTGAACTGGGCTGGCGCCTCAGGCACAGAGGGAGGAGCAGGCACTGGTCTTTGGGGCTGTGGCAGTGACCGAGGTGGCCAGGCCACGCTGAGGAGGCAGGTCTTTATTCTGGCCCCAGCAGGAACTTCCAGAGGCCTTTTCTTGCTTCCATTGGCTCTGTTCTAAGAAAACATCTATGGAACGGACCTTCGTCTGACAACGCTGCAGGACAAGGGGAAAGCTTTGCCTTCTTGTAAATCGGAGCTTAGCTCCTGCCACAACACCAGCCGCCACTATGGACGGTGTGTAATCCAAGTCCATGCCAGGTGCCCCCCTGGGGCTGGGTGTCCATTCCAGTAGGATTCTGGCGCCAGAGTCTGGGGAAGTTGTGGAGGGCGGGCCAGGAGCAGCGCTGCCAGAGAAGTGTGTTCTGATGTGCCGCCCTGCTTCACCCCATCTCAGCCGCCTGCCTGAGTTAAATTCGGGAGATGAGGGATACCCCTTACTCAGGAGCCAGGGAAGTGACAGGGGCAGCCCCACTGAGGCTCTGTCCTCCGTGCTCCAAGCACCAGCAGGTACTCGACAGATGCACACCAGGGCCGTTTTGCTGGGAGGAGGTGCCTCAGCGAAACCTGGTGTCACCCTCTGGTCCCAGCAGCACTGGAGTTAGCATGAAGTTCCCTCAAGAGCTAAAAGGGCCCAAACCCAAGAAAACCAGGTGGCAAAAGCTGGTGTCCAGGTGGCTGTGGGGCCACTTTGGGAAGAAGCAGTGGTACCGAAAGGAGAGGAGACCCTCTGTGTAGACAGCCACAGAAACTTCTCAGACCAACACCCACTCTCACTGCCACTGGGTTGATTCTGTCTCATGGAGGAAGCCCTGCAGGACAGGATAAAACTGCCTCATGGGCTTCCGAGACTGTCAGTCTTCACGGGAGTAAAAAGCCTCATCTTTCTCCCTAGGAGGGGCCTAGTGGTTTTGAACTGCTGGCCTTGCAGTTACTGCCTAGTGAGTCACCAGAACTGTTCCACCAGGGTACTTCCTTATAGGTCATAGAAACCTCGTGGGAAACACACATTTCCAAATTGTGGACATTTGGCTAAAACAGAAATCTAACTGCCCAGAGGGATCTTACTTTTCATGAG